TAAAGGCAAAATAAAGTATAAAACACACAACTTTCCACTTTTGTAATCCTAAAACAATTACTGTCATCAGGTATACAAAGAGCAATTTATTTTATTCTGCTACTTTTCCCATTTATCACTAAAATTATGTTTTCTGATACAACATACAAGAAAGTTATTTACAGGTGAATTAATTTATTTTAAACAGAGTGAAATGCAAAAAATGTAAAAAGAAAAAAAAGAGAAACTCACTATAAAAATTAGCTAAAGAGAAATGAGTTAGACACTAATTAGGGTATTAATTAAAACGGAAGGAACAACATTTAATGAAACTTCAAAGCACATTTCGGTTTTAATTATATAATATACTCTACCAAAATATAATTTACTAGAGATACTGCTCTCTCTTGGTTCTCATCCTAATATCCTTCAGTGTCACCTTTACTAGAGATGCTGTTGGGGTCCCCCAAGGATGCCAGAACTTACATCCATCTACACCTCCTCCCTGGGCAAACTCATACAATCTCAGGCTTCAAATCAGGATTGCTTACCTCTCCAACACCTCAACTAGCCCGCATCACTCACCTCCTAAATGACATCTCAGACTGGATGTCGCTTTTCCTCAAGAAAAACCGAGCTTTCAATATTGAAGACAACTTGGGCACAAGCCAAAGTTTACAAAATGGTCATACAAATACATATTGGAGTTCATTTACTAAAACTGTATCTCAGTGCAAAATCTGGTGCAGCTGTGTATGGTAGCCATTCAGCTTCTAACCTTCAGCTTCTCCCTCCACTGGCTTTGCCCAACGCAAAATTAACTCCTTACCCTGACCTACAAAAAAACACTAAAATCTGGAAGTTGATTGGTTTCTATCAGAGCAGCCCCATGCACGATGTTGTACTCTCCAGTTTTAGTACATTCAAAAACCCATTGCCCACCCTCATAACGGCCATCCTCCCTCATTTCATCCCCCCCACCACATCTCACCCCCTCCCTTAGATTGTAACTCATAGGGCCCTCTTACCCCTCGTACGCTGTCTGTCTTTGTTGTACTGTACCATGTATTGTCCCCCCCTATTGTACAGCGCTGAGCAAACCTTTGGCGTATATAAACTCGTAGTTAATAATAATGCTGGGGATCCTTATTCTCCTCTAGGAAATCCAGGATTGCTTTACCTAATTATTCTGCCAAGAAAAGTCATTTCAATATTGAAGACTTGGGCACATGTTTAAAAATGGTCATACAAATACATATCCATTTACTAAAACTGTAGAGTGCAAAATCTGGTGCAGCAACCATTTTCTAACTCACTGTTCAAGTAAGCTTTGACAAAAAAAAATAAACTGTGAAAGATTGGTTTCTACAGCATGTTGTCTCCCTTTTAGAATCAGCATTTTTGACACCAATAACCCATCTCTGTACATCCAGTCTTGATGTACATTATATGTGTTAGGAGGTGTTCTAATGTAGTAACACCATTCCTGTAAGGGTGAAAATTTACTCACACTGTATATGTGAAAGAGCAGTGTTAGAACAGACACCTGGCTGGATTAATAGATACCTTTCTATACTGTAGTTGCAAAAACTGTAATTAACATGGCGCTAACATGGAGCTAAACTTTCCTTTCCGAATAGTCAAACACTCCAGCACCCAGACAGTGTTACATCCAAAGGTGTCAGAGCTCTTAATGCTTCACATGATGCAGCCCTCCTCAGAATGGGAAATCTTGCAAGTAACTGTAAAAACACACAGAAGGGAGCAAACGCCCAGTGTTTTATTACCACCATCTTTTATTAAAACAAAAAGCCAAAAGCATGCCCACAAACATGAAATAGAACAGGTGTATCACATAACAACTCCAGTCGATGAGCATGTCATCTGACCATATATGCAGGAGTTGGTAGGTTAACACGTTTTGGGGAACATGCCCCATTCTTCAGAGCTATTAGGTCTGCCAGAGTTGGTAAGCTAACACATTTCGGGGAACATGCCCCCTTCTTCAGAGCTATTAGGTCTGCCAGAGTTGGTAAGCTAACACGTTTTGGGTAACGTGCCCACTTCTTCAGAGCTACTAGCTCTGAAGAAGGGGAAGCTTCCCCCGAGACACGTTAGCCTACCAACTCTGGCAAATATGGTCAGAGGACATGGCCCAAAAACTGGAGTTGTTATTTTATATGTTTGTTCCATTTTATGTTTGTGAGTATGTTTTTGACTTTTTGTTTTAATAAAAGGTGGTGATGATAATGCACTTGCCCTTTGTGCCTCCTGTGTGTTTTTTACAGTAAACTCACTTTTTGTTCAATGGTCCCTGTCCATCGCCGGTGTCAGCAATAAAGATGGTCTTTACTTACCTGAGCCCTTATTCAATCCAGCGCCATGCACATCTGCGGCTCTTCTCTCCCCTCACTTCCATGTCTCGATGCCTTTGCTGGGGCACTGAGAGCCATTGGCTCCCAAGCTGTCAATCAAAGCCAGTGACAAAGGAGCAGGAGGCGAGGCAGAGTCCTGATGTCTGTGTCAATGGTTATAGCAGGAATCAGCACAAACGAGTGCCCCCATGGGAAGCGGCTTCCCGTGGGGGCACTGAGCAGAGAGGAGGGGCCAGGAGCACCGGAGAGGGACTTGAGAGGAGGTAGTTCGTGGCTGTTCTGTGCAATTCCATTGCACAGTGCAGGTAAGTATAGACATGTTTGTTAAGTTTTTGAAAAGAATCATTTTACCTTTACAATCGTTTTAATGTTTAGCCATCATAGTCAATTTCTGCCTTCTACACTTATCCAATAGAAATGAGTACGGGACTACAAAATGTTCACTTGGCTTAATAAATATGGTAGTTCATTACGATCATTCATTTATGATCAATCAAAAAGGTTTTTTAATCTTTCTTGCACACTATTGGGTAGTTTCACCGTATTAATTATTTCTTTAGTAAGGTAATCCCCATGATTATCAGGACTGGAACCTCAATTTCATTATATCATCCCCTACCAACGCAAATTCTTGTGTCTGCACTTCTACAAATGCCTTATAAACAAGCATAAGTGTATTCTATATACAGATAAACAATTTATTTCCAAATATTTTTCCTTCAAGATTGACATTTGGAAAATATACAATGAGATCATGTGAAATAGAACACCTGCCACTTCCCAAAATTCTATCTACCTAGGCCACAGCTTATGAAGCCTTCCCACTTTCCAGGACTTGAACATCATACGACCCATGATTGAACCACATACATCTGCTATGCTAAACAATGAAAAGTGCAGTAGTTGCCTTTTATCTTCTAGAAAGATTACTTGCTGGCAGAAAAATGCCTAAATTCCAACAGTTATCTAGCAATGATTACTATCATGTGTGTTTCAAACTATTAAGAATTTCAAATAGGTCAAACCTGAGTAACATCCCATGTGTTATATGAATGCCCATCTACACATGAAAGTGCATATTAGGGAAAAAAATATATTCAGTACATCTCTTCAATACATGCACTTTTCCCATCATTCTGTTGCTTTAAAACACTGCAAGTACAGAAAAATGCTTAATGATCTGCCATAAATCCAGCGAGCTCACAAATACTGGTTTGAGTTGACCACACCATGCCTCTGCTGCACTGAACTTCCAAACAGTGTTTTCAGCCCTGCACAGTTCTATACTGGACTACAAAACCCCCCATGCAGAGGCGTCCCTGGGGTTGGTGTCACCCGGTGCGGTAACACTTGATGACACCCCCTCCGATGATCCCCACAAAATGGATTGGATCTGTGGATTGAGCATAATGGATGGAACTTACCTTTTCGTGAAGCGGTTCCGGTGTCACCCCAAAATAAGTTGCATGCCGACGATCCCAGCAGGTACTGCAGATTGACCATAATGGATTGGTGCCCAATCCATTATCCTCCCCAATCCGCAGATCCGACCAATCCTGCGGGGATCGTCAGCATGCAACCTATACGGGGAGACACCAGACCCGCTCCACTAAAAGGTAAGTTGTAAAGCAAGCCATCAATCCCTGCAGGATGGATCAGATTGGGGAACATAATGGATCGGAGTCCGATCCATTATGCTCAATACACAGATCCGGCCCATCCTGCGGGGATCGTCGGCTTTCTTTACAACTTACCTTTTCGCGGAGCGGGTCCGGTGTTACCCCGTGCGGTAAGTATCACCCGGTGAGGCGTGCACCCCCCGCAGCTGCCTAGGGACTCCACTGCCCCAATATTAAAGTGCTTGTAGACCCTTACATATACCCAGTAAAGTGACTAGCCAAGTGATACACAGAGATGAAACAAATCCTCCAACATAAGTTGTACCTGTTTATCTTCTGCCTCCTCAACATCAGAGCCATGCAAAGTGTACAGTTTACACAACATGACTGATTCTCAGAAGGAGGGAGGGATCTGATGTCACATATTGCACAATATAGAGCACGGCACTTAGTGTAATCTGAGACCTGTGAGAAGGGAATGGACACTCTATACATTCTCACAAGGAAACATTGATAAACAAAGAGTGAAAAAAAAGTTTGCTCTCTTACCTACTACACACATCTACCCTCCTACACAGCTGCCAGCACTAAAGTCAGATTCCTTGGAGTCTGCATAACCTTTCAGACGTGACTCATGCAGATAGCAGAGAAAGGAGACAGCAGCCAGAAATTACACTAAGTGCCTTGAATTGAGGCACATACACATTATAAAAGGATATGCTTTGTTCATTTTTCACTTCAGAGGTTACAACCATGTTAAGGATATGAGGTGTGTTCTGTAGTAAAGCAAAGGCGATATGGTCAGGGCTGACAACACTGTTTGGTATTTTAGTGCAGCAGCACTGTATTGTCAGCTCAAGCAGGAGCTTACTAATTTTCTGGCAGATCAACATGTATTTTTTTATTATTTGCAGCATTTTTAAGTTATAAAACATGGTGAAATGTGCATGTATTGCAGCTGAATATGTTTTTATTCACATATACATTTACGCATAACCAAGTCTAATCCACTCCTGTGTTTTTCTGTAGGTGGTCTGCTATTGGCTTTATGTGCCATTCTGGTGTTCCATATGGCACTGGGGTGCCCTGACATCTGCACGTGCCAGACCTCTTCAAGGACTGTCGACTGTAGCTACAGAGGACTTCTTGAAATACCAAGTCACTTACCATTACAAACACAAATTCTCTATTTGCAGGGGAACCAAATACGTGCTATAAACCACACATCTTTTACTTACGTTGTAAGCCTGAGGATATTAGACTTGTCTAATAACTCAATCTCAAGAGTGCCGCCATATGCCTTCCATTTCCTTCGCTCACTGCAAGTCCTGAATCTCACCAATAACCTCATATATCACCTTGAAGGCCAAGTGTTCACACCTCTTATGGCTCTAAAGGAACTGGATTTGTCTTATAATAACCTCAGTGCTTTACCAGAATCTTTAGGAAACAACACTCGGAACCTGACCTTCTTAGGAGTAAGAAATAACCAACTGCAAAACGTTGACCGTGTGGTCCTGGAGACCTTCACCAATCTGAAAGTTCTGCTTGCAAGGTCCAACTTCTGGCAATGCAACTGCCCTGCTCTGGGCCTAAAGCTCTGGCTGGAGAATTTTTTATATAAAGGTCAGTAGATAATAAAACCGCATAGCTGACATTAGCAGTACGATGGAAAGTTTAACACAACAACCGTTGTCACCTTCCCTTAACATGTAATCCGTCTGTCCTATTAATAGCCGAATGTTATTATTGCACAAATTGTCATCGCTGGAGGTCAGGCTAACAGGGAGGAGGGAAAAAAAATAAAATACACTAAATCCACTTCCTTTATGTTACACTTGATTGTAGATGACCTGTTACAGTATAGAAATGTCAGTGGCTAAGGAACGGTAGTTTCAGATTCTTCAAACATCATATTTTCACAGCTCATCAGCCAAATACTTAATTGCATTTTTCAGTGTTTCTCCTCTGAGATCGAGTTACAACTATTATTTCTCAAGGTATGTTTAAACATCTCTCTGTTACGGGTATTAGTTTTTGGAGAAAAGCCATAAGAAACACATTTTTGGTATTTGGGAAAATATAGAAGCAACATTATAGCATTTAGGTAACTTCTGCATATATTAGCATACTGTTACAATCAATTTACTGTCAAATGCTATGTGTGTGTTTGTCTATGTATTTAAAGTGGAGCCTGTATCTGAATTATTTCAAAATAAATCACAAACCTCTTCAAGCTTACTTAAGTAGATCTATCTATCTATCTATCTATCTATCTATCTATCTATCTATCTACTGTTTTTCCACAAATACACAGGCAGGTCACTTTCCTTATGTCTAAACTGACTTCGAAAGACTAGCCATGGTTATGTACTAATTACCCTATGGGGTCCAAACTGTACAATCATGTCTTTCTCATGAAAGTGATTGAATGGAAGTCAAGCCCCCTTTGATGTGACGACTATCCAATATTTCTCTCCAATTAAAATCTCTTCCTCCTATCTGGAGATGGGAATTCTAATGCCTACTTTGACGATCTCAAAGTGCGGTAAACTTTATCTCCTGATATCAAACATCGACATTCAGATAAACAGTCAGCCATCTTAGCATACCAAAGCCATATCCCCTTCAAGGAGACAACAAGGCCTATTAGCTGGTTCCAACTATTCACCCACCCCCTGAGGACAATGGGGCGATCTTAAATATAATGCCTGACATTTGGCTTTAGCATACTAAGAATGGTAACAACAGGAAAGACCAATTCTCTTGAATGTCAGGAGACAGTTTTATAAATGACCAACAAGTTCATCTGGCATCTGAAAAAAAAAAAGTTGCACTCTCAGGAAAACGTCTAAGTCAATATATAACACATAACAAACAGATCACAAATAAAGTCCTATAAACAAATGATCAAAGTCCACCAAATTGTGCAAACTCTTTATGCAGCAGCTGCACACCAACCACCAAGTGATTACAGAAAGTGTTTATAATGCTGCTTACCAAATCCTTAGACCCCACAACTCAAGATTTCTAAATCAGCCTTCAAAAGATGACAGATCCTGCATAGAGGGATGGCTCCAGTTCTTTTCCTCTCACACCACACCAAGCCTCACTTTCTCATGAATAGCATGCCTCAAACGTGGTCACTGGATCGCTTTTCATATACTTGTACCAGTTTCATCAGCAAAAGCACACACAATTGTGTTCAAACATTTGCATACCCTTGGAGAAATGGTTATATACAGTATTCACCACCAAGAAAACATGAGTGAGGAGACAAAAAACATTTATTTTATTTCTTATGGGATTCATATTCAATTGTAGGTCCTAAAGGAATGGCAAAATCATAAAACAAAACATGGCAAGAAGTAAAATGAAATTACCTTTGTTCAAAAGTCTGCATAGTTCCTAATACTGTATATTGCCACCTTTAGCATCAATGACAGAGTGCAGTCTTTTGTAATAGTTGTCTATGAGGCTCCAAATTCTTGTAGGTGGCCATTCGTCTTGGCAAAATGCCTCCAGGTCATGCAACATCTTTGGTCATCTTGCATAAACCACATGTTTGAGATCTCCCTAGAGTGGTTCAATGATATTAAGGTCTGGAAACTGTGATGGCCACTCCAGCAAGTTCTACTTTTACTGCTGTAACCACTGGAGGATCATCTTGGTCTTGGACTTAGGGTCATTGTTGTGCTGGAAAGTCCAAGAGCATTCCATGCACAGCTTTCCCCATGCCTTTAGAGCTAGTACACCCCCAAAACATCAGTGAGCCACCACCATGCTTCACAATTGAGATAGTATTCTTGTTGCGTCTGGACGTTTTGGCTGCATCTTTCTTGGTCTACCTAACCTTGGCTTGGAATCAGGCGATCCCCACATTTTCTACTTCCTAATAAGTGATTGATCAGTACTGACTGGCATATTCAAGGCTTTGGATATCTTTTTATATCCTACCTATCCTTATAAAATTCCATTACCTTGTTATACAGGTCTTTTCTGCTCCCCAGGGTTCAATATTTAGCCTGCTCAGTGCATCCACATGAGAGCTAACAAACTCATTGACTATTTATACACAGACACTAACTGCAATTTAAAAAACCACATGTGGGAAATTAACTTTTTATTGCCATTTCAACCCTTGTGTGTCGCCTTGTGTGTCTGTACCAAGACCAAATATTCCAGGGTATGTAAACTTTTGATCAAGGCCATTTGGGTGATTTCTGTTATCATTATGATGATAAAAGGAGCCAAACAACTATGTGATAATAAATGGGTTTGTATGATCACTATCCTTAAATAAAGGACAGTTTTTCAGCGTGATTAGTCATATTTTCAATAGCAAGGCGAAAATTTCACAATTTCTGCTATGGTATGCAAACATTTGAGCACAACTGTAGCAAGGAAAGAATAAGGAAATTCCATAGTGAAGTACCATTTAAAAACATTTATTAATAAACCAAGTGGATACTCACAAAAACAGATAGTAAGACAAGCATATCGCACATCACCGCCGACTCTCGGAGCAGGCGTGATGATGTCACCACTAAACTCTGCCCTACACATGTTTCATCAGATTAGACGTCTTCCAAGGGGCAACACCAAACTCCTGGCATACATACACACTTTGGCCTGTATCTCATATTAATCCCATATAATCCCATTTAAATATATTAATAGTGCATATTTCCTACAAGTATATATTTTATTGGGCAAGGTTATTTCTTCTACTTTGACATACCACTTCCAAAGAAGGCTTGCCACTTCACTTTATCTGAACTAAACCTCCCTATCTCTTACAGCCAAGGAAGCTGCCATCTTAGCCTCTGTTTCATCTACAATTGCCATTGTGCTACTAATGTAATCAGTTATGACACCAGCCATTTGATGGCTTGACAGTTCAGTTGAGAGAACAATGAACTGCAACAAAGCACACAGAATGACACTTAGTATTTCTATTAGGCTACAAGGGACCTTTATCACACATTTCCATCAACAAAAATTGATTAAAAAACACATGGATATTTAACAAAGTCTGTTTCTTTTAAACTCAACATTACAAGGGATTAGTACTAAAATGTTTCCCACAGACTACCAGAAACAAGCAATAAAAATATCCCACAGAGCCTTAAGGCTATGTTCACATCTCTGAATGCATACAAAATCAGGTGTATTCCCAACTCACAGGGAAATGCACTGCACTTAGTAGATGTGTGGGGTGCCATTAAATATTAATGATACCCAATGCATTGGCAACCACATGCAGTTCAGTGATGATTTAAAAAAAAAGAAAGAGTCAGGGACGTTTCCCCCATGTTTCTGCAGGCAGGGCAGCCCATTGAAATGAATAGGCTGTGCTACTCACAGAACTCAGCCGCATAGATCTGAACTGAGCTGAAAACTGAACACACAAGCTCTATTTTAAATATATTCCTCTACAGGGGCGGACTGACCATTTGGAAACTCAGGCACTGCCCGAGGGCCCGGGGTCAGTAGGGGGCCTCATGAGATGCCCCTGGTACCTTTTTCATAGGCTTTTTTGAGTTTAGGCAAGGACACAGGGGCCCCATGATATTGCCCGGGGGGCCCCATGAGTTGTCAGTCTGCCCCTGTTCCTCTACCACCCACTTCTGGCTGTCTGTAGGAAACTACAGCAGGGGGTGGAGACAAGACCAGCCACTCTGTACAAGGAGAGAGAGCAGCAGTAGATGGTCATTATTAAAGGAAGCTCCTGCACAGAAGCAAAGTGCAAAAGCTGTTTCTAGTAGGATCACTGCATAGATCTGGAAGAATGTGAAAAATTTCACCCCAAGATTTAAGTAAGAACACTCGTGTCTGTTTTATGTAGACAAATTTTCATCTGTTTTGAACATCACACTTTAAAGTTCAAATGGGTTTCCAGTGAACTGAATGGAGTGAAATTCTACATTATTATTATTCAATAAGCCAGCACAGCTTTCAGTTAGCATATACAGTATGTCTCTTCCTTCTTGTATGAGGAAATTGATGTGCTGATGTGATAACACATGGAACATATATACCCATACACAACATATGATCAACTACATGATGTGCAGCTTTAAAGTGGAACTAAACTGCATCTGAGCACCACAAACTGAAAACACTTATTTCATTAATTTTTTATATTTATAGCACACTCGCCCAACCATGCATTACTTTGCTGAGAAAACACACCCTAGTATTTTGAGCTGCCATCTTGAGTAAGGGCAGATGATTCATGTAACATTTACTTCCTGGAATCCATCAGCCCTTAGTTCAGGCATGCAGGCAGGAGGCCATGTTTAGCTGAGATTGCCCCTCCTCCCACCTCCAGCTGAAAGATAAAAAATGCCAATGAAGACTCCAGAGATGTATGACATCATGTTGGCCAGAAACCAGTAAGCAACTGAATAAATGTAATAAAAAGTTTAAAACAAGTAAATACAATATACATTCCTATCTATTTACTAATGCTAGTGCTGCAAAGATTAAAAATAGCTCATGTTCCTGAATACGGCGGCCAGACTCATCCAGCTTACCAACCGCTCTGTTTCCGCCCACCCCCCCCCCCTCTGCCAATCCCTCCACTGGCTTCCGATTGCCCAACGGATCAAATTCAAACTGCT